CATCCATCCATCCATCCATTCATCCATCCATTCATCCATCCATCCATTCATCCATCCATTCATCCATCCATCCATTCATCCATCCATTCATCCATCCATCCATTTTCTTTACCCACTTATTCCATTTTGGGTCACGGGGGTCGCCGGTGCCCATATCCAGCATTCACTGTGCGAGAGGCGGTGGACACCTGGACAGGTCTCCAGTCCATCACAGGGACAGAGACAAATGAGATAAACAACCATTCACTCTCTCACTCACACCTAGAAACAATTTAGAGTTACCAATCAGCCTAATGTGCATGTTTTTGGTCTGTGGGAGGAAACTGGAGCACCCGGACAAAACCCACGCATGCACGGAGAGAACATGCAAACTCCACCCAGAAAGGACCCTGGACCAGGATTTGAACCGGGGACCTGCTCGCAGAGAGGCAGGAGCTCTACCAGTTGCACCACCGTGCCGCACACTACTAACATACTAACAAAATTTTTAAAATACTACTAGAATACTAAAAAAAAACATTTAAAAAAACTACTAAACTATAAAAAAAATGTAAAAATAAATTATATATGTCTCTATAGGTTTTAAACACCTTCTTTTACCTCCACAGTAGCACGTCAAGGCTTCACCATGGAACTGACCAAAAATGTCCTAAACGTGAAAGAAAAATAAAAGAAATAAAATGCTTCTTTAGTTCTGCTATTTCTTTTACTAGTTTCTACACCAGGTATTCAGGTTTACTCACTCTGGTTCCGCTCGTACATGAGTGACAGGAGTTTCTGTGTCAAGTTTGGTAATAATGTATCTGCTTCAGTGCCTCTTTCCTGCGGGATCCCACAGGGCTTGATTCTTGGACTCCTTCTGTTTTCACTTACTCTCCTCCCTCTGGGATCCATCCTGAGGAAACATGGTCTTTCATTTCATTGTTATGCTGATGATTGTCTGATTTGTATGAGGTGCCGAGTTCTTGCTTCATTCACCCTCTGTTAAAATGTCTGGACAACATTAAGGCATGGATGACTTCAAATGTTTTAAGTTTTAATGATCAGAAGACTGAAGTCTTTGGGTTTAGCCCTAACTCAATCATCGTATCTGATCCTGTAAACCTGGACTCCCTTTAGCCATATCTTAAGCAGTCTGTTACAAATCTCTGGATGGTTATAGACTCTGACTTTAAGTTTGATAAACAAATCAACTCTGTTCTGTGGAAAAGCTTTTCAGTTAAAGCAGATGGCTAAGCTTAAGCCAGTGTCCAAATTTGACCTTGAAGAACTAGTCCATGCCTTTTTCTCTACTCGACTTGACTGGACTACTGTAACACACTCTATGTTGGGGTCAGTCAGGTCTCCATCTCACGTCTCCAGCTTGTCCAGAATGATGCTGCTCGGCTCTTAACTGGAACTCGTAGGTTTGAGTATATTACAGTACACCAAATGTGTCCTCCCTTCACTGGCTCCCTGTGCGTACCAGACTTGATTTTAAAATTCTCCTGTTGATCTATAAGTGTCTAAATGGCCTTGCACCCCATTATCTCTCTGAACTATTGGAACCATATGTTCCTGGGCCCTGAGATAATTCGATCCACTGCTTTTGGCTGTTCCAAACACAAGATTGAAGCACAGGGGTGATCGGGCATCAGATTTTGTAAAAAAAATAAAAAGGGGGGGGAGCATTTTACTACTACACCAAATAGTATTTGGAATATTCAGACGTGAACAATATAAAACCATCTCATATGGTAAATGGTCCTGCTGAAAGGGTGTGTGTGTTTGTGTGTGTGAGCATAGATGATGTGTTATTGCTTTAATGTAACTCCTGTGTGCAGAATAAAAATCTACAAATTGTACTACTTCATATTTTGTGTCCCATTAAAAAAAAGAAGTACTATTATTAAAAGACAATGTGTAGATCCTAAACACTCAGTTTACTGAAAATTGCCAACTACACTTATTTTCCCTTTCCATACAACTCAACATTTTTAAGAATAATGATGCATCTTAATAGCTTGTGTAGCACCAAACCATATAATTGAATCTTTTGAGCCATTATAGAGCGAAACGAAGCAGCGATGACATCTGAAGCTTCCAACATCTTTTGTCATGTGATGGTGTGATACGAGCTCTGACATGGTGTCATGAATCAGTCTGCTTCATGAAGTACAGAGCAAGCTTTGAAGCCTCAGTATCGTTTGCCCACCACTAAAAAAAGATGTAAATCGTTTTCAGAAGAGTCAAATCATTGTTTATGTGCATTATTGGGGCGGCTGTGGCTGAGTGGTTAGAAGTCGTCCTCCAATGCGGAAGTTGGGTGTTTGATTCCACCAGCAGTCACATGCTGAAGTGTCCCTGAGCAAGACACTGAACCCCTCATTGCCTCCAATGTGTGTCCCATCAGTGTATGAATGTGATAAAGCTCTGATTTAATCTCTGTATAGATCGACACAGTCCATTTATTAAATGTTCTTAGTTCAGTGGAGTGTGAATACTGTCAGCATTTACATACTTGTTTTCCTGTTTTTGTTTTTTCCTTAAACATTTTTCCACCAATTTAATTACTTGCTTATACTCAATGCTGTTTTAGTCATTTATACATCTAACGTTTCAATTCAGTCAAATACAGTTTATTTCTATAGCACCAAGTCACAACAGAAGTCCTCTCAGGACACTGAACAGAAACATTCATATACATGTAATATAAGATGGAGCTAGGTTGTTGAGAGCTTTGTAAATTAGAAGTAAGATTTTGAATTCTATTCTGGATTTGACAGGGAGCCAGTGGAGAGAAGCTAAAACTGGAGAGATAAGATCTCTCCTACTAACTCCAGTTAAGACTCTGGCAGCAGCTTTTTGGATCAACTGAAGACGTTTTAAAGAAGTATTTGGACACCCAGATAATAAACCATTGCAATAGTCCAGTCTAGACGTGACAAATGCATGGACCAGTTTTTCTGCATCATTTTAAGACAAAATGTTTCTAATTTCAGTGATATTATGCAGGTGGAAGAAGGCAGTTCTGGTAATGTTTTTAATGTGGGGGGATAAAAGACATTCTGATATAAAAAATCACACCAAGATTTTTAACATTAGAACAGGAGGCCAGATAAAGGCCACCCAGAGAGGTCGAAAAACTGCCAGATTTATTCCTAAGATGCTCAGGTGCAAAAACCAAAACCTCAGTCTGAGTTTAAAAGCAGAAAATTAAAAACGTTCAGCTCATTCAGGAGATGGCTGCTGCAACTTTTGGTTTTCAAAACTCACATGCTTTTGAAAAGTCTATTAAATATTTTCACAATACAAATACATTAAATCTTGTCAATTCTTTCAAAATATCTGTTCTTTTTGAAGTCTCCTTCTGCAAACTGACTTTGTTTTTGTCTTCTTGTGTTACTCTTAGCTTTAGATTATTTTCTACTAGTTTTAGCTTTCACTACCATTCTGCTACTTTTAGTCACTTAAACTACTGTTCCGTGAACTTTTACTTTTGCTACTGTTAAACTCTGCTACTTTTAGCTACTTTATTTAAAGCTCTGATACTTAGTCTGGGCCAGTCATAAGGCGCTTTGCCACATTGATACGTACGTCTCCACTTGGCTCCTATCTTTTTTCAGGTGTAGGTGACTTGCCTCTGTGACTTGTTTCCCTGCTCTGTGCGTGGGATTGCCAATGCAAAGTGGACGATATTGTAATGGGTCATTGTGTTTGAGCCACTGCACCCGTTGTTGTCCTTAATCATTCTATAATTAGACCTCTGTTTCTTTAGCTTATCCTGTGTAGAGGGATATGGGGTTGGATATATATTGTAAATGATCAGTTATGAGTTAAGCTCACAAGATATGCATTTATTGTGCAAATAACCTCGTTGTGTGTGGGCACCACATCTTTTCAGAGAAAAAATCAGTCTCTAACCCCAAATTAAATGTAAACTGAAACGTGAACTCTTTTCTCGTGTTTAAAGGGCATCAAATCAGTTAATACACACAGATATGCCAAAAAAAAAATCACAAATTTAGTTGATTTTATGTATTTTATTACAAAAA